TGTGTCAGCTGAATATAGCGTTAGGCAACAGGCGGACATTAGCGGTCTCGGCTGCGCACGCAGTCTGTTAGTTTGAAAGGAGGCTAGCGGAGAGGGAGACCGATAATGAGGATGTCGGAAGCGTTGTGCAATCTCCGCACTTCTCAAACAAAGTGTGCAGGCGTCCGCACAAGACCTGGGGAGCGTAAATTAAACGGTAGTCTCAATATTGAGGAACGGATTTGTAGGGTGCTCTTCTTCTCCTCACATCCATTTTCAAACGAGGGATGTTGTACGTTCCTCCACAGGCCAGTAAACTATCGTTTTTTAAATGACTAGAGAAGTTGTTAAATTTTTCAGTAGGCTCACATTGGTTTCTTCGCACTTAGCTTTCCTTAAAGCTTGTACTGAAGGCATAAGTCTTGGAATACAACTATAGGTAATATCTTTCTCTCTTTCTTTCATTCTTTCTTTCTTTCTTTCTTTTCCTTTCTTTGTTTTTCTTTGTTTCCCAAATAAGGAGAGTTTGCCTAAAGTACACTCACACAGGCAAAAGAAAGTGAGTCATAGTGGTTGCTTGTTACTGCGAGAATTTTTTTTAAGTTTATCTAAGCAGTGATCTAGCCATAACATGCACTATCGTGTAGAACTGAACGGTTCCCCTCACGGGTCACTGGTGTTTATCCCCAAAAAAAGGTCACAGAAATAGACAACACGAAGCGGTTGTTGTCTCTGCGTTTCTGCACCGCTTCTTCTTGTGCCTTTCTGCGTCCATTGTGGCTTCGAGGTCGCCATTTCTAACCATGAATCTCCAACTGGCCTTCACCCCCCCCCCTCTTCAAAGTTTTATTTCAAGGTTTGAAACATAATATGCTCTTAGCGGTGCGGCGATGGCGTAGTGGTAAGAGCATCCGCCTCGCATGCAAGAGGTCCGTGGTTCAAATCCCGGTACCGCGCAGTTCCCAACCGGATTAAAAAAAAAATCCGCGTGTTGATGGAACTGCATTAAGAGGCCTGGGGTGCGGCCTCACCGGCAAACACCGCGGAGAACGCACTCCCTCACCAGAGAAGGATTGGCCACCCTGGTGCAGTATCTGGCCACTACCTCCCACATGCTTACGTCAAATAGCTCACGGCCCTCAGTCCCCAGCAGCTGCGAAACAACTGACCACGGCGGCGGTCAGATCTGCAACGCAGCAGAGGGTGCTAAGAATCTCTGGATCCGGACAGGCCGCCATTGGAACCTGAACTTGGCAACGTTTAACGCTAGAACCTTATCTAGTGAGGGAAGTCGAGCTGTACTATTCGAGGAGCTAGAGAGTGTTAAATGGGATATAATAGGGCTCAGTGAGGTTAGGAGGACAGATGAGGCCTTTACGGTGCTACAGAATGGGCACGTCCTTTGCTACAGAGGCTTGGCAGACAGAAGAGAACTGGGAGTGAGGTTCCTAATTCACAGAAACATAGCTGGCAACATAGAGGAATACTATAGCATTAATGAAAGGGTGGTAGGTATCGTAATTAGACTGAATAAAAGATACAAGATGAAGGTAGTACAGGCTTACGCGTCTACATCCAGCCATGATGACGCTTCAGTTGAAAGCTTCTATGAAGACGTGGAATCGGCAATGAGTAAGGTAAAAACACAGTACACTATAGTGATGGGCGACTTTAATGCAAAGGTAGGGAAGAAGCAGGCTGGAGACCAGGCAGTACGAGATTATGGCATCGGCACTAGAAACGCCAGAGGAGAGCTACTAGTAGAATTCGCAGAACGCAATAATTTACGGATTTTGAATACCTTCTACCGAAAACGAGAAAACCGCAAGTGGACATGGAGGAGCCCTAATGGCGAAAATAAGAACGAAATAGACTTTATAATGAGTGCACACCCTGGAATCGTGCAGGATGTGGAAGTGATTGGCAAGGTACGATGCAGTGACCATAGAATGGTACGGTCTCGAATTTGCCTAGACCTGAAGAAGGAACGACAAAAGCTGATACGCAAAAAACCAATCAATCAGCTAGCACTGAGAGGAAAAGTACAGGAATTCAGAGTGTCGCTGCAGAACAGGTACTCGGCTCTTAGTGAGGAAACCAACCTTAGCGTAGATACAATGAATGATAATCTGACGAGTATCATTACGGAGTGTGCAGTGGAAGTTGGAGGCAGGGTAGTAAGACAGGACACTGGCAAGCTTTCCCAGGAAACGAAGAACCTAATTAAGAAGCGTCAAATCATGAAAGTGTCAAGTACAACAGACAAAATAGAACTGGCAGAGCTTTCGAAGTTGATTAATAGACGTAAAGTATGCGATGTAAGAAGGTATAACCTGGAGAGAATTGAACACGCTCTGAAAAACGGAGGAAGTGTCAAAGCATTGAAGAGGAAACTTGGGATAGGCAAAAATCGGATGTATGCACTAAGGGACAAGGAAGGCAAAATAACTACCAATAAGGATAGGATAGTTAAAATAGCGGAGGAGTTTTACAGAGATCTGTACAGTAGCCGAGACAACCACGACCTTAATTCTATAAGAACTAGCAGTAACCCAGATTACACCCCACCAGTAATGATAGAAGAAGTCAGAAAAGCTTTGGAGAGCATGCAAAGAGGCAAAGCTGCTGGTGAGGATCAGGTAACATCAGATCTGCTGAAAGATGGAGGACAGATTGTGTTAGAAAAACTAGCCACCCTGTTTACGAGGTGTCTCCTGACGGGAAGAGTACCAAAGTCTTGGAAGAACGCTAACATCATCTTATTCATAAGAAAGAAGATGACAAGGACTTGAAGAATTACAGGCCGATCAGCTTGCTCTCTGTAGTATACAAGCTATTTACAAACGTAATTGCTAATAGAGTAAAGAAAACATTAGAATTCAATCAACCAAAGGAACAAGCAGGATTTCGAACAGGCTACTCAACAATTGACCACAATCATACTATCAATCAGGTAATAGAGAAATGCTCAGAGTATAACCAACCACTATACATAGCCTTCATAGCTTACGAGAAGGCGTTTGATTCAGTAGAAATATCAGCCGTCATGCAAACACTGCGGAATCAGGGCGTAGATGAAGTATATATAAACATTCTGGAAGAAATCTACAGGGGATCAACTGCTACCATAGTGCTTCATAAAGAAAGCAACAGAATACCAATCAAGAAGGGTGTAAGGCAGGGGGACACAATTTCCCCAATGCTATTTACCGCGTGCTTACAGGAGGTTTTCAGAAGCCTAGAATGGGAACAGTTACGGATAAGAGTCAATGGAGAATACCTTAGTAACCTGCGCTTCGCCGATGACATTGCATTGCTGAGTAACTCAGGGGACGAATTGCAACTCATGATTACGGAGTTAGACAAGGAGAGCAGAAAGGTGGGTCTTAAAATTAATCTGCAGAAAACTAAAGTAATGTGCAACAACCTCGGCAAGGAGCAGCGCTTGGAGATAGGTAATAGTGCACTTGAAGTTGTAAAAGACTATGTCTACTTAGGGCAGGTAATAACCGCAAAGCCGAACCATGAGATTGAAGTAACTAGAAGAATAAGAATGGGGTGGAGCACATTCGGCAAGCACTCTCAAATTATGACGGGTAGATTGCCACTATCCCTCAAGAGGAAGGTATATAACAGCTGTATCTTGCCGGTACTTAGCTACGAAGCAGAAACCTGGAGACTTACAAAGAGGGTTCAGCTTAAATTGAGGACGACGCAGCGAGCACTGGAAAGAAAAATGGTAGGTGTAACCTTAAGAGACAGGAAGAGAGCAGAGTGGATTAGGGAACAAACGGGGGTTAAGGATATCATAGCTGAAACCAAGAAGAAGAAATGGACATCGGCAGGGCATGTAGCGCGTAGACAGGATAACCGCTGGTCATTAAGGGTAACTGACTGGATTCCCAGAGAAGGGAAGCGGGTTAGGGGTAGACAGAAGATTAGGTGGGCAGATGAGATTAAGAAGTTTGCGGCTATAAATTGGCAGCAGCAAGCACAGGAGCAGGTTAACTGGCGGAACATGGGAGAGGCCTTTGTCCTGCAGTGGACGTAGTCAGGCTGATGATGATGATGATGATGATGATGCTCTTAGCTCCTGTTGTTGGTGAACATAAAGTGACCTTGAACCAAAAGCCGGCGCCGTCATCCGAGCACTCAGACGTCAGGGAAACTAGTCAAATGCTAAAGAAGTATGGTCTTTGGCCTCCAACCTTTCTGCAGGACAGCATTATACGCGCTGGTCAGTGCCCAACAAGTTACAAAACATATTGATTTCGAGCTCTTCTTGATGACTGTGCATAATTTCTAGTAATGTTTAGTACACAGGAACTCTATTTAAGATTTTCGATATGTTGCAAAGGTAAGTACAGGGAACCGCACAATTTATCGGTGCTCTTTTTAACATCCGTGGTTCGTGAGTTTCGCGGCACGTGTTTAGCCGCTTCCATCAAAAGATGACACCATGCTGCATGCGGTGCACGCGCGTCTGACGCGGCGCAGATAGGGATTGGCCGAGACACGACTTTCATTGTGGTTCAGCCCAAAAAACTTATTTATTTCGGTTTTCAAAACTGCATCAAGACGTGGCCGCATATTCTAGGTACGCCTCTAGATTTGTACACCACAGTGAAAGGAAACAAGGACACTATTAGAACTACCGCGCAGTATGGCGTTGTGTGGTGCGATGTAGCGTATGGCGTGTTACTGCAGACGTGAATTATAGATATTTTACGATTGTGGCTAGTATATTCTCCCACCAATATTCTTTGCACGTAGCCATTTCATGGTTGCATTTATGCATACTGTTTACGGCAGACCAAGTCATTTTTCTACCAACGGTCTATTTCGGTGGACAGCTCCAGATTCGTTTTGGCTGCATGTATACACTTTCCTAATAAGCACCATTATGAATACACGCGCAAAGTCACATTACCCTCCTTCTCTCCAGTTCCTTACTACCTTGAACTCAGTGTTTACTTACATAGCTGCTTAGCCTCTAAGACGAGCTGCGGTGAGGTACTCACCAACACAGTGTGTAGGTGCGCCCTCCCATTGCCGCTGAGAGTTACAGCGTGCCGTGGAAGGCCCCTTCAGGCGAAATCCATGGTGGCACTCGTAGCGCACCACCGAGTTGAACAGCAGCTGGTCGAAGATGGCCCGACCGTTCAGGGGGTCTTCGGGCTTGTCACACTGCACCGCTGCGCACGAAAAAAATGTCAGGTTCCATGGTTAGTTTTTGTTATCTTATTGCTCCTGCACGAACAAGTCCCAATAAGCAAATGCGACCAAAATTTGTGGTCCCATCTGCGCTTATGGTATTACTTGCGCTTCGAATTTCATAGAATCTGTTTTCTATACGGTCGTTAAACTAACTTCCTTTTATTGGTCACTAATCGTGTATTTATGTTTCAGCTACATCATAAGGTAAATCCGAAACAGCATTACACCACACCTTTAAGTAGTGAGTATACGTCTGAGCGCTTGAAATACGTGCCTCATTATTTTCGTGCTTTTATTGAAAAATAAATTCGGCTGCAAAGAGAGCAGCGATGAGCCAAAAAAATATTTCTCCTAATTATGGCTCCATAAAAGAAAAACAAAGCACATATGTGATCTATCTTACTAGTTAGCACAACTGAACCTCTCTTAATGTACAGGGTGCTGAGGTGCCCTACTAGAAACAGTGTTCACATGAACCACCGTTAAGAGGTGTTTTTTTATTATTGTTTGGCAATACACACGCTGCTTGTGGAAGACAAAAATGAATTTGCTTCAGTTACCTCACGCTTGAAAGTTCACTTCGCCGTCACAACGAGGACCCCCACATTACATCCTACAGCCTAACTTTCGTACGTAATGCTGCACAACTAACAATTCAGATGTACTGCATGATGGAGATTGTAGTCTATAGTTGCTGAAATTCGCAGGCAGAGCTCACATGAAAAGGTATTCCGAAAGAGTTAGCAGGCGTACGAGCAACGTGCAATCGTGACGTCAGTGCGTAGAGCATTTCGTCCATGAGTTTCAGTGAATACGTACGCCTGCACTCGGGCAGTGTGCCGCTCCACTGGCCGGAGGACTGGCAGTAGCGGTGCGCCCGGCCAAACAGCTCGTACCCCTCGTGACACTCGTACTTGACCGAGCTGGTGAAGCGCGTCATGGCACCCATGCGACGGCCGTGCTCAACCTCTCCTGGAGGGCCGCAGCTCTTCGCTGCAAGCAGGAAAAGGGGGTCATCGTCAAAGCGTGCATGAAAGCGCCGTCGAATGCACTCCATGGTAATGCGACAGCGTCCTCCTTCTCTGGTGGCAACGTGTGTATTTAGTATGCTATCAGAAAACACGTGTCCTTGCTTGTGTCCGTGACGGCGACCGGCTGCCTTTCTTTGTAACGAAATTGTGCGACAGTCGTTTTCCTAGCAGCGTCATGTACGTTACGTGCGCGCTTGCATAAAGTGTTATACATGAACGACCATCCTGTTCATCTCGTAGCAACGAACAGCCGACTTCACCATAAGTGACATGCGCAAGGTCCTGAAAGCTTGACGGCTCGCACGCTTCTATCAGATTTCACAGTGGTGCCTGTACGCTTTTTATTACGTTACACCCTGCAGTCTGACATGATTGTTTATTCATAGCCTTCGTTTAATTTCTAACTGTAGCCAACAATATGGTCTTCCAATTCATTACCCTCCAGTGTTTTCCTTCCTGTATGCCCTTATTTCCACAGTTAGTTTGTATGTGCTTTGAAATATAATAATAATAATAATAATAATAATAATAATAATAATAATAATAATAATAATAATATAATAATAATAATAATAATAATAATAATAATAATAATAATAATAATAATAATAATAATAATAATAATAATAATAATAAAGTTTATTATTATTATTATTATTATTATTATTATTATTATTATTATTATTATTTTGCACGCACGCAAAGAAAACAGAGAGAAAGAGAAAGTACAGCACAGGAAAGGTGTTTTTAATACAGTCATTCAGAGAGTCTAGTAAGTCACGAAAATTGCAGTAGCGCTTAAAGGGCTCCTTCTGCGACAATGTGTACTACCGATGGCGTAGAATTATTCTTGCACACAGAGGTCAGTCGTATAAATTATTTGATTTGATTGATATGTGGGGTTTAACGCCCCAAAATCACCATAAGATTATGAGAGACGCCGCAGTGGAAGGCTCCGGAAATTTCGACCACCTGGGGTTCTTTAATATGCACCTAAATCCGAGCACACGGGCCTACAACATTTCCGCCTCCATCGGAAATGCAGCCGCCACAGTCGAGATTGATCCCGCGACCTGCGGGTCAGCAGCCGAGTACCTTAGCCACTAGACCACCGCGGCGGGGCTCGTATAAATTGTTGAGCGTATTGTAAATTTGCAATGGGATTGTCGCTGTGCACTAGAATTGTTGGCAGTCGCAAAAACAAGGCTTTCGTATAGCAAATACGAGCTAAAAGCTTATTAACAAATATTTTGCCGTTGCCATTCTCATTATTTGTACAGTTCAGATTTCCGTGTCCAAGAGTAGAACGTCGATCGAATCTATTCACTTGGAGCGAAGCCTTTGTAAAATGAATTTTTCGTAGGGATGGTTTGAAACTAAACTCTATGCATGCAGTTTCGTGTTTGCTTGACACTACGCGCAATTTCTCTAAATGTTTTACGTAACCACCGGAAAAGCTAATGTCAAGTCAAGTGAAGTTTATTATATATTTCAGTTCAGTTACGTGGTAGGAATAGTAAACAAGAGGAGGCCCCAAAGTTTCAGGGAAACTGACTTAGGGACCTCCTATGGCGAAATGAATAGGGTAAATATAAAAACAGAAAGGTGCGAATTTGTGAGCAAGCTTAATTAACAAGCTTAACTAGCAATAACAATACACTTTTAGATAACATGATGGTAATAATGCTGATGAAATATACATCAAAATAATCAATAGTAGGGAATAAAACTAAAACGAAGCAAGAATAAACAACTGTATTTGACAAATGCAACTAGTTTTACATCAGTTGTGCAAGTTGTACATACGCAAATGTTAATATAAAACTAACACAGAACTGTTGAAAGCAAATAAAAGTTAATTACACATATCAGGTAAGTGCATAGATTCCTGAAGAAAATGTTTTTCTGTACGCGAGGGGAAAATATGAATGTTGTGCGATGATTTTAATTTGAAGGCCAATGAATTCCAAATTGCTGAGATTGTAAACAGGGTTGCGAACTTGCCGTAGTTTGTTCTAACGGCTGGTAATACAATGTCATACAATATTTACATACTCAGGTGCCGAAATCGGAGGTGTGAATAGAGAGAAGTATAACATGCTTAATCATTCTATTACTGTTGTGACCTAGTTAATGAAGATGTCTGTTTGCTTTGGAGATGCGTATGTGCCAATATTGCGACCAGTATACAAAGTCGTTTTTTTTTTCAAATACTTATTCTTTAACTGGACATAATAAAGGCGAGCTCACCGGCACTGCCCGATCAAAATTATGCGCGACTTACTTAGGACGGCCGATTAACTGAGCGAGCTCGTCAAAGAAGGGAAGTAAAAACTACAAAAGAATTTCGGGGCCCTTAAGCTTCTCTTTTAAGAGTTGACCGTGACAGCGATGCCTTGTCTCTAATACGCACTTCAAACACTTATTGCACGAAATCTTTTCGAAGCTGCTATGCACCCACTACATGGCCTTAAGGAAATAGGTGCAGTAATGTGTGTGCGTTATGTAGTGGGTGACCGTCTTTCAACCATAAAGTCATTATGATACTCACACGTTCGCACGCCCGATGGCAATGTACGCTTATACCACGCATTATTGCGGCAATATTTCATGCTGTGTTGCGAAGCATGTATACAGGGCACGTGCGTTTGTAAAGCATGCAAGTTGCTCTCACTGAATTTCAAAACTGAGGAAGTTATTTTCACTAAAACCTCGTGCAGATGCTTGGATGTGTGCTAGAGCATTCGCTTGCCATGCGAATGACCTGAGTTCTATCGTCACTCTGACCCGAAGAATTTTTTTAATTTTTGGTCACGCAGAAGATGATGATTTTTTTAGTAACAGTCAACTATGCCAACGCCAGAGTTTCTGCGAAACGATCTCTTTAATGCTCTCGCGTTAAAATGCATATTGGCCTGTAGCGAAGCTTTGTCTTATATTAAGCATATCTGTTTTTTCTGGCATTAAATGTCATTGTGATGCTGTCGTTTTCTGGTGACTCCGTGAGCATGTATGAAAGCCAGTGATTTCTACCCAACATCAGCTCATTAGGATCATCAAGGCATCTCACTGTGGCCTAAATATAGCATCCAACCTTCCCTTTCTGTGCATGGGAGATCTTTTCTCAAACTTTCCACTCTGGCAAACATTAATTTACGCTCCTGTGAACAGGAAAACGGCATGGCAAGACCAAAGTAAGAAAGTTCTCACTTCAGAATTTTCGCTTCGAAACAGATTAGGGCTTAATTTCTCTAATGACTGAAATATTCCCACGTGGGTGGCATTGTGCTAAGGAGCGGTACTTATCGAAATACTTGAAATAAAGTTCTTCGTACAGTACCGTACAAAGAGATTGGTTCGTTTACCACGCTATGAAATTTCTAAAATTTATGCACCATCATTAAAGGAAAAAAAATATGTAGCTTTTTTAATAATTTCGCACGAAAAGTGCCCACATAGCACTTGCACATCAGCACTTACATATATGGGCAATCTGTGCCAACCAGGAGCTAATGTTTAGCTGCGGGTTGCTGAAAATTATTTATATACGTAATTGGTGATGTCGTATACCTATTCAATATTAATCGCATGCATTACCAATCGTCTTAAATTATGTTGGTTGCTCGACGACAGATCAGAACTTCACTTGAGCCGTGAAAACCATGGCTTCTTGCATTTGACGTAAATATATTGACTTCAGATGAAAAGAGTTGTAAATTAAGGTCTTCTTGGCATAAGGTTGAGGACCGATTACACATGACCGGCGAAAAGTTTTGTGAAAAAAACAACAACAACACGTGATAATGGTGTCGGTAATGCTTTTTGTGTAAAAAAAACAACATCTGCCACACGTTGTGGGGATCTGAGGCGCGCCTGCGACCATTTCGCGGGCATTCCGCCACACGGCCACACCCTTTCGCTTTCCTGCTCTGTTAACACCACGTGGCGATAGATGGCGCCACGTGCGGGCACGGCGCGCGCCACTGCGCGCGCCGAGGGAGCGCTCTCTTCTCCGTTGGTCGGCGCCGGGTAAGCACGTGTTTTCCTTCGTCCGCGTCCCCTTTGGGAATCGCCGGACTGCAGCCTGCCTGGGGTGGCCTTGGGCACCTCGGCAGGCGTGTTTACTTGAGTGCTAGCTTCGGTAGCGTACGCTAAGCCCACAGCGGTGCCTAGTGCTTGAAGTGGTCGTACCACAACGAGCCGCACTTGCCGTAGGCCCAGCGCGTACGAGGTTTGCCCTAACACTCGCGACCAGGCCCAGTGGCCATCGTGAGAGTGCGCAGCATAGCCGTGAGGGACCTTTTCCCGACCGGCGTGTCAAAGCTCGCCATTGCCAGCTGCGACGTGCTCGCGGTTTTCCCCTTATTGTGAACGTCCGCGTGCGGGTGCCTTTGCTACCCGCGTCCCGGAAGCGGACGTTGTACTGTTGTTCGGGGTGCCGCCAGAGGCAATAAAGTGTTGTGTACTGTTACATTAGAACACTGTCTATTTGCCGCGCTGCGCTAAACGCCTTATCAGTTGAGCGCGCGCGGAGCGGTGCGCTACACGCGAGTAAACGGAGTAGCGGCCCTGTGGCTCGCTAAGCGCGAACCCGCGGTGATCGTCCGCTGCAGTTAGGAGCGGGGTCACCATACTGGCGCCCAACGCGGTATCAAAGGCTCATTAAGCCTTTGATTAGTCTTAGCCGAGTCAGCCCGCCTTTGCGAATCAGGCTCGCCGCGTTTACCCGCGTTATGTCTGCTCCGCGTGAGTTCTGTCCGCTGACGCTTTTAGCAGATACCGCATTGCTCGAGAACAGGCCAGTGCCCCCCTTGAGCATCACAATCGCGCACCCTCACTTTTCACAAGCCCCAGTCGGGATGACACGAGGCGCTACGTATCAGCTCCCACTGGAGAGGTAGCGTGTTTTGGGTCCGGGGCCATAGCCCAACCCGAACAGTGCACAAGGGCAAATTGGACTAC